AGTGCTTATCCTACAGTACCACATGATGGCATCTAATACATGGTTGTTGTTAAGCACTGTGCTGACTCATAGAGACTCTGCATTGGATTTTCCAAGAAGCGGCTGGTGAGCTTTAACTGCCAACCTTGTGGTTCAAACCGACCTTGCATTACCACTCAGCGTATCAACATGCAGTGCCACACCAGGACTCCTGGTACATGGTAGAAATTATATATGTTAACAATTGCTACTATTATCACCTATACAAGGGGCTTCACAAAAGGAGAAACACTGCATAAGTCCATTATTGTAAAATATTAAGAAAAAGAACCCACCCTAAGAGGGAAAAAAAAAAATTCTTTGCTGGTTACTGGGATGTATGGGGTGGAGGGAGGGGAAGATGGAGGAACACAGGGTAGGGAATAGACACAGGATAGCCTGGGTACTGGGGGTGGGGGGCAATACACAAGAAGGGGGAGGGAAATGGAAGAACAAGGTAGGTGGGAGAACAGTTAAGCAGGTTTGCATGGGCTAAGTGGGACAGAGGTAAACAATGATGTATGCACAAACTTGGAACAACAGGGCTCTGGGATACAGGGATTAAGGCATGGTTGAATAGGTGAAAGAGGGGAAATAATGTTAATCTTTTGAATCTTGGTTTCCCTTGCCTACTATTGTAAAATAGACACTGGAGGGAGAGAGAAAGGAATAGCCAGAAACATCATCATAGAAAGCTTGTAAGTCCATCTTCAGCCTATAACTGATTGGCATACATAAATTGGGGCTAAAACTTGCCCAGTGAAGGAGGCTTCCTGTGGAGCCTCTGCATTGCATAAGACTATAGGTGGAATCCTGAACCCCATTCAGAATCTTCTGAGGTGGTAAACTGCCACTTGAAAGGACAAGCAGATAGCCTGGAGTGGCTCGAAGAACAGAAGATACTTCTTGAAAGAAAGGCCAGCAGGAAAAATCAAAAGCAAGAACGCAGTCCCACTGACTACTACAACAACAAGCAAACTGTTTGCCCAGGAGCCCTAAAAGGAAAGTGGTCGGGCCCCATCAGAGAAAACCCCCTTCCAAGACTAAGACTCAAGGGGAATACATGAATAGGCATGTGGTCTTGCTGGTGACCATGTTGGTCACAGATAAGGGGAAGTAGGGGAAAAACAACAATGAAGTTGTGAGCTAAGTCCTACCACGTTCAACAGACTTCTATGAACCCGGATTGAGATCTGGTTGGCCAGCAGTGTGGCAAGACATAGGGACTCCTAGGCCCAGAGACAGTGACATGGCCACTGAGGACTAGAACAGAGAGTAAAGCGTTCAGCTGATATGAAGTAAGGGGAGATGCATAAGAACACCCATACTTGCAGATAGTACCCACTTGACCTGGCTTCAATGACTGGATGCATGATCAGAACTCAACTAGAAGAAGAAAGAAGAGGAAAAAAAAAGAGTAATCTGACACAATTTGATGAACTTGACGTATATCTATGGATGTAGTAGCTCAAAAGAGGGAATAAATCTTTACTGCGAGGATCATTCCCACCCCCTCGGTACACAGGGTTGACAGGGATAGGCAACTTTGACATTGGCTACCCAAAATGGTGGGGGGGTGGGGGGGTTTACAAAGGCAAGAAGTGACTGGCTTACAAGCTTTCAAGAGGGATCCTAGATCCAGAGGGTGCAGAGGAAGGTAGACTCTCCACTGAATAGTATCCAATCTGTCTGGGCGGGACTGATGAAAGGAGATGGGGATAAGACTCTTGTGGTACAATAGTGAATAATTGCTATCAGGACTGACTGTGAGGGTTGGAAATGTAAAGGTAGACGTTTTGTAGTAAAAGGAGGGGAGTGGTTGATTTTGCGGTCTAGGAGTGAAGGTACCTGGGACCATCAAGGGAAAAGAGCAGAGTGTGGGACCCTACCCAAAGAAAGAATGACACCAGATATAAAGGCAGAGATGATGACTGTGGAGAGATGGAGCAGCTAGGGACGCTGGACTCAGGGAGGGAGAGGGGCTGTGTGCTGACAACCAGGGGACAGGCTTACAGGGTATACCCTTTGGTTGTTTGATGATGCATGGAGAGGATTGTAATCATTGCAATGAAATGAAATACAATAGGATAAATGTAAAACTAGTGTTCTCCCATGTAAACTATCACATAATTCACAATAAAAACTTAAAAAAAAAAAAAAAAAGATAATGGGATTTTTCCATGAACTTTGGAGTCTCCTCACATATTTTAATATGATACAATCAAAAAGATATATTGTTAAATAACAGAAACAGGGTATAGAACAGTACAAATAGTGTGCTACCATTTGTATGACACACACTCACACAATATACACACACTGCTAGTGTGTGTGTAGGACAGACCAAACCTGTTCCGAATGGTTGCCTCTGGGAAGTAGAATGTGGAACTGGAACGCTGGATTGGGAAGCACTTTATTATATATTTATTCCTCCTTTTTCACTAATTGGATTAGAGTTCATAAATCCTGTACTTGGATTAAAGATTTTTAAATCATGTTTGTGGTAAAAGGCTAAAACAACAACACCACACACACTTCCACACTTCCTCTTGATTCCGGTTATTTAGCAGCCAAGTGTGGACAGTCAGTCCCAGACACAGCAAGCTTCCGTTCGGCTAGATGGTCATCTGTTACGCATGCCCTGAACGATTTCTGCAGAGCAAGACGTTGATCTAGGGAGCATCTATGTCAATTTCAAGAGTCACCTTTTTGATGGCACTAAAGGAGAAGGCGCTCTGGTAGCGTAGTGGTTACAAATTGGGCTGCAAACCTTAAGGTCAGCAGTTTGAAACTACCAGCTGTTCTGTGGAAGAAAGATGAGGCTTTCTGCTCCCGTAAAAATTTACAGCCTCAGAAACCCTGTACAGAGTCACTATGGGTCGGAACCAACTCCACGGCACATAACAACAACAAAAACAAAGGAGAAGGAAGAACTCTGATAGCGTAGTGGTTACAAGTCAGGCTGCTAACCTCAAGGTCGGCAGTTCAAAACTATCAGGTGTTCCGCAGGAGAAAAATGATGGCTTTCTACTCCCGTAAGATTTACAGCCTCGGAAACCCTGCACAGGGTCACTGTGAGTCAGAACTCACTATGAATTGGAACAGAACTCCACGGCACCTTCAGGTCACCACCACCAAAGAAGAAGGGAGTTGGGGGAAGAGGCCTGAATGAGACCAAAAACACTTGCGGTCATCACAGACTGCTGGTATCAGATGGGACACAAGCAGACGTGATCCAAAGACAAATGCGTCTCATTTCCAGTACAGAGCTGAGGAGCACCAATGGTGGAGCCAGACAGGCCTGGGTGTGACTCCTGGCTGAGCCACTTCTTCAGGAATGGATCTAATGTCTGGGAGTCTGCTTTCTCAGCTATCGAGCCATTATGAGAAATAAGCAACTTTGTGAATGTAGAGTATACAGCCCAGCGCAGCCACTGGCATCTAAATACCATGCTTGGGGAAGAGAGGTCAGACCTTCCTTCTACTGTTGTCTTTTATGGATGACTCTTTTAATGAACAAGTACAAATGTGACAACCCAGAAAGCAGTTTTATACTGAACTAGCAGAGATGATTTACATATAGCTGCAATTGCCAAGCCCGTAGCTGGATACGAAGTCAAGAAGGCTCAAGGCTGTACGACTCTACACTATTTGTTTACAGTAGAATTGGATATTAAACAAGGCCAACTTTCTCCGGCCCTCACTTCGAAATCTTGCTTCTTTTTTAAAGCCCAGGTCTCCGTAGGACCAGGAAGGGCTGGGAGTCCAGAAGGAGGTGGTAAGAAGAGCATTGGCAACTTCATTTAACCCTTGGAGTCCTGAAACTACAAGACAATTCTAAACCCCCCACAAATATAAATGTCAGTAGGTCCAAGTACAGATATTTTGGTCTGAATTGTGGGGTTTACGGTAAATACAGAGTTTGCTGAATGGGTCTATGCCACAGAGCAAGTATTAGAAATGCTAGGTGTCAGTGTACAAAGTCATCCTCCACTGCCCCCAACTATCTTCAGACAAGGAGTGACTGCCAGACTAGCCCATCTACATGGCAGACTCAAACATAGGACTTTGTAAAACAGAATCTGGAGTGCTAAAGTAAAAGCCAAAGCCCCAACAACAGAATGCTAAAAATAAAGTCTCTTACTAACCAGCCCAGGACAGCTCAGGTTATTTTGGGAAGAAGAGAAACACTACCTTCTTCAAACACTACCTCCCTTTAAGCCTTAGTGTTCATAGAAATCTAGGTGCTGAACATTCACAAACACTTGTTTCCATGTTTACGAGCAACTGTGGCAACCAGCCAAGGTGTTAGCAGCAGGGAAGGTGAGCGTGGTCCATGTGAGTGCGGGCTCACCGTGGGATGCACGCCGGCTACACACCCTTGGTGCCTACTTAGCTGGCCTGCTTCATCCAAAGGGCCAAGAGATGGATGTCTGGAACAGGTGATTTGGTGTTCCACAGATAATGGTATGAAGTTCATAAAGTATAAGCACAGCATAGGAGATAATGCCTCCAGATGTTCTGTTATTAAAGGTTTAAGACCTGAAGGATTGAACATGTCTAAAGAATTAAAAAAAAAAAAAAAGTTGGGGGAGGTGTCAAAGACATAAGAGATCCTTGTAGATGCTGAAAGGCTCACTCTGTCCCCAGGGTCATCGTAGACTTCAAGCAAATTCAAGACATGAAGCAGACACCTAGACTTGTGTCAGGGGCAAAAACTTCTGGTAGTAGCTCTTGGTGACGTCAATCATCAGCTCTTGGGTACATTCCGGGAGCTCCCCTGAGAAGAGTCCTGGGAAAAGAAAGACCTGGTCAACCAGTAGAGCCATGCAAGGCTTACAGCTCTGATTCCCATGGAAACCCCTAAAGGGCCGTTGTCTTTAGTCATGAGTGTCTCAAATGCTATCCCTTTTCAGTACTACCAGAATGTTCTACTGACCATATCTTCTTGATGATGTGATTAAAATACTACAGTTCCCACATATATGAAGAAATATACTCCAGCTAAGAAAGCTTATGGTATTACATGATCTGAAGAGGTTGTTCCCAAGAAAGACTAGTCCACCCCCAGGATTCTGTATGAGACCAACTGAACAAGTCAAAGTGAGTGCCCTTACGGTAAACAACTGCCTTGTACATCTGAGACTGAATCTAATGCCCAAATATGCTTGACACAGACAGATTACGGATGAAAGTGGAACAGAATGTCCTAGTGTAAGACAGACGATGGAGCGATTATAGTCAAGGCTCTCGGGGAGATAGGCACTTTCCTAACTACTAATGGAGGGTAACTAAGAAATACAGGGGGGCCTGGGAGAGCTGGAACTCGATGGCACTGCTGCGTTTTCTGGGTCTCCCAAGGTCTCCACCTCGGACAGGGTGCAGTCACAGTACCTTACTGTCACTCTCTAGTAGTGACAAATACTTAAGCTTTCCTTCTCTGATGGGTTTCTACCTTATACAGGTTCCAGTTTTTGTAGATTTTACCATTATCTAGCAAGAAGTTAAAGGAGTTCTAGTAGAGCAGTGGTTACGAATCGAGCTGCTAACCTCAAGGTTGGCAGTTCGAAACTACCAGCTGTTCTGCGGGAGAAAGATGAGGCTTTCTGCTCCCGTAAAGATTTACAGCCCCAGAAACCCTGTACAGGGGACACTAGGAGTCGGAACCGGCTCTACAGTACTTAACAACAACAACAACAACAGCAAGAACTTAAAAGTTCATCTGCTGGGGCTAACAGTACAACTTTGAAGAATTTATCCCATGCATAACCTTGCTCAATTATACAACAATGTGTGTAAAATAGTGCTCAGTGCAGCAAAGGTTATTATGGTGACAAACATGGTACAATTTATAAAGACCCATTATCCTAGGGGACAGACGAGATAGATTGTGGTACACCTAGGTTGTGAGAAACTTGTAACTAGAAGAACCAGAATGCAAACAGTGAAACTGCCCATGCACTGTGAAGAATCTAACCAATGTCCATGAACACTGTGTGTACCAATTATTGAATGGGAACCTAAGCATCTTTGCAAACCTTCACCAAAAACATAATAAAGTTACGACTCAAAAAAGAAATAAAACTCTGTGGGGCACAGTTCTCCTATGACACATACAGGGTTACCATGAGTCAAAATTGACTGGACGACGACTAGTCTTTATAAAGCCAGGAGAAGCCACCAAACTACACGCAGGCACTGAGCCTCCTTTACACATCATTTCTAGCCATGATCTTACAACTCCCACAAAATGACTGGCTGGAACTATGCACACTGAAGCTGAGGAAAATTAACAACAAGCCCATGAGAGCCAAAATATGACCTTGAACATATCCCACCTGAATTTAGAGATCATCTCAAGAACAAATTTGATGCATTAAACACTGAAGACCTAAGACCAGAAGAGTTGAGGGATGACATCAAGAACATCAGATAGGAAGAAAGCAGAAAGTCATTAAGAAGACAAGAAAGAAGGAAAAGAACAAAATGAATGTCAGAAGAGACTCTGAAACTTGCTCTTCAGCACAGAGATGCTAAAGCAAATGGAAGAAATGAGGAAGTAAAAGAGCTGAAAACGAAAATTTCAAATGGCAGTTTGAAGACAAAGTCAAGTATTACAATGAAATGTGTAAAGACCTGAGGTTAGAAAACCAAAAGGGAAGAACACACTCAGCATTCATCAAGCTGAAAGATCTCAAGAAAAACTTCAAGCCACAACTTGAAATATTGAAAGATTCTATGGGTAAAATATTGAAAGATGCAGAAAGTGTCAAAGGAAGATGGAAGGAATACACAGAGTCACTGTACCAAAAATAACTGGCCAATGTTTAAGCATTTCAAGAGGCAGCACATGATCAAGAGCCAATGGGGACACTGGACTCAGGGAGGGAAAGGGGCAGGCCTGTGGGGTGTACCCTTTGGTTGTTTGATGAGGCATGGAGGGGACTGTAACCACGGCAATGAAATGAAATACTATAGGATGAATGTAAAGCTGATGTTCTCCCATGTAAACCCACATAATTCACAATAAAAACTTTAAAAAAAAAAAAAGTGCCAATGGTACTAAAGGAAGGAATCCAAAGTGCACTGAAGGTACTAGCAAAGGACAAGGCCTCGGGAACTGATGAAATGCAAGTTGAAATCTTTTAATCAACTGATGCAGCACTAAAGGCACTCACTCATCTGTGACAGGGAATTTGGAAGACAGCTACCTGGCTAACTGATTGGAAGAGAGTCATATTTGTGCCCATTCCAAAGAGAGGTGACCCAAGAGAATGCAGAAATCACTGAACAATATCATTAATATTACAATTAAAATTTTGCTAAAAATAATTCAAAATGGCCATACCAGTACACTGGCCTGTCAGAGAGTCAAGCCAGATTTAGACAAAGATGTGGAACAAGAGATGCCACTGCTGACATCAAATGAAAGTTAACTGAAAGCTGAGAATACCAGAAAGATTTATGTGCTTTATTTACTATGCAAAAGTTTTCAACTGTGTGGATCATGACAACCTATAGATAACATTGCAAAGAACGGGTAATCCAGAACACTTAATTGTGCTCACGAGGTATCTGTACATAGACCAAAAAGCAGTAATTTGAAAAGAACAAGGAGACACTGAGTGGTTTAAATTTAGGAAAAGTGTGC